CGGCGCGGCCGGTGACTCTCGCGCGAGTGGGCAGTAGTGTGACCCCCGAGAGTCGTCGTCGCGTTAGAAAACGAGAGCGTCCGGCAAAGGCGATGGAATGTCCTCCGCTCTCGTTACCCGCGCGCGATGCGTGCACGTATATAGGTGCGCGCGCGTTCGCGTGCAACGCGACGGGAGACAGGGCGAGATATCGTTATCGGGTTCGACGACCGATTGCAATCGGTGACCGATATGGCGCTCCGATTGTCGTCGTTCCTCTCGCGCCGAGCGATTTCGTCGCGGAGGCGCCTCGGCGCACCCACGCCCGCCGAGTATCGCTGCGGCGTGCGAGAACCCGAACGTTTTCGAATCGCATTCGTCGCGTCGCGTCGTCCGACACCGAGCGAAATACGTGACGCAGCGTCGAGTTTCGCTTTCCCGTCGCGGGGAACGAAAAAAAAAAGAAGAGTAACAAGCCTTAAAGCGCCGCGGTATCGGCGAGCCGTCGTAAAAACAAAAGGAAAGAGGAAAAAAAATGACTGGCGTAAAGTATGGCACGACGACAGCGCAGGGAAACACATTGTATGCTTTATCGCGCTTGCGGGTATACGCCTGTAAATGCAATTCACGGCGGAGCTGGCCGCGACGTAGACTTGGCGTCTTCGGCGCTCGCGACTGGCGGAAGCAGGGGCGCGGAGCGGGCTTTTCGTCCCATTCGAGCAAAAGGCGGGTGAGGAACGGTAGCGCTCTCCGGCGCGAACAGTGGTAGCGCGCGCGCGTGCCGTTCGCGAGAGCTCGAGCTGTCGGCGAGGCAGCGGCGGGCAACCCATTCGTTACGCGTTGTACGCGCGCCGCCGCCTGAGTCGTCCAAGTCGCGGCGCCTTTGCGATCGATCGCGAGCCGATTGCGTCGATTTCGGGCAGCGCGTCCTCGTATCCGCGAGCCCGGCCGAGCTCGCCGCGGGTGGTCGCACCTGCGTCGCCGCGGCGTCATATCAGCGAGCGCATCTGCCGCGGCGCGGGCAAACCGTATAATTGCGCGGCGAGAGAAAAGCGGCGCCGAAAGTGCAGTCCGCCTCACGTACGCGGAAGCTAATTCGTCGAGCTTTCGTGGCCGCGCTCACGGATAATTGGATTCCCGACGCCGCGTTGCGTCTCAGCAGGGCTTCATTGAAATCTCTCGCGTCGCGATGGCAATTAACCGAGATGAGTCAGCTGCTACCTATCGCGCGGGGACCCTTCTTTTTGTCGAGCTCGGGCGCGCGCGCGTGTTTGCTAATCTCGCGGATCGTCGCCGTGGAGGGAGGTTTCATTGAGCGGCGCGCCGAGGCCCAGGCGGCCCGCCAAGGAGGCTTATTTAGCTCGCCGACAGTCCTCTCTCGAGTACGTATCTTTGCCTCCGCCGGAGGGGCCGCGTTTCCGCAGGCGATTCGTCCGCGGCTCACAGCTTTTTCCACGCCGAGCGCATCGCTCGGAGCCAAGGTGTCGTGACGTTTGCGATAACGACGGCACGAACGACGAAATTTACGCGGAAAGCATTAACATTTCCCAAGACATCAGCCCGCCACAAATGAAAAAGGGGGAAAGGGGGGAATGAGCGACGTCGACCCTCCTAAACACTCTCAAGGACCTTTCTCCGCGTCTCTCGCTCTCCCGAGGACGTAATCTCGCGCTCGGCCGAAGGACAGCTGAGACGATAATTTTTCGTAGAAGGCGGATATGTCGCCGGTATACATAAAAAGCTGTGCCTGTCTGCCCATGCGCGTGCGCGCGTGCGAGTGTTGAAAAGAGCTGTGGTTTTACCAGTGTAACACCAAGCCGGCCAGACGACGGGGCTCTCGGTGTCGAGCTCCCTCATCCTTTCAGCGAGCTGCTGCCGCGGACATGTCCACCAGCGGCCCAGTACGTCCAGGTTTCGACTCTCGGTTCCCGCTAATCCAGCAACAAATGAACCACCAAACAACAACAGCAACAACCGCGAGAATAATTTCTCCTTTGTCGTTCACACTCACAGCAGCAAAGACGATCGAGAGGACGAAGAGGGGAAAAAAAGAGAGAAACACAAGGAGACGTCGACGAAGAAACCGTAGCACACGCGGTGTTTTCGAGCGAGAAAGAGAAAGAGAGGTGCACCTGCCGCGAGAGTTCGCGCCGTAATGGGAGCGGGGCAGGTAGGCTGTGCCTACTCGGCGGCGGCAGCGCAGGTTGACGAGAGAGAGAGAGAAAGAGAGAGAAAGAGAGAGAGAGTGAGAGTAGGGGAGTCAGTCACATGGTCGCTAAGAGCGTAGTGGTGGCTCCCTACCTACGCTGCTGCTGCTGCTGCTGCCGCTGCTGCTGCTGCTGCCGCTGCTGCTGCCGTTGCCGCTGCCGCTGCCGCTGCCGCTGCCGCTGCCGCTGCCGAGCGAAAGAGGATGAGTGCAGCTCTGCTCTGCTCTGGTTTTTCGAGGAGAGGTGTCACGGACGTATATCCAGACGCGATTGCTGCTGCAACTCTCTCTGATTTATGGGCGTTTTCAAAACGCATCTCTTTCGCGCACCAACCTACCTTCTTTGCATTGCGGATGCGCCATTCTCCTGATTTTTTTCTCTTTCTTTTGCGAAGCGCGGCGAGAATCATGGACACGAAAGCTGGAAATTCAATTACAGCACGTATGGTTTCCGAGAAGAAGCCGACGAATCCCGAAATTCATCAGCGAGTCGAACTCGTAGATGAAAATAATGAGTATCTCAGGAGTTTGCGCTCGACGGTAAAGTTCTTGAAAAGTGAAATACGAGAAGGAAAGTCTTCTCTACGATGGGACAAATGCACAGTTCGACGCCTCAGCAAACAACTCGAAGATGCAGTGGGAACGGTCGCACCCTAATTCGTCTCCGAGATACGTTGAACTTTCAATCAAGGTCGCCGAACGTCCGAGAGATCGCGCTATGATAACGAAAAAAGAATGACCGACGACCTAAGCGCCTTGCAGTCCGTCCCGTTTGCATACGAATTTCCGCGATGGAACGCAGCCCGTCAAGGATGACCACGCGTGTTTTCGATTAGGCTACTTATTACGCGATCGTAAATCACGCAGCCCGCGATGGAGTTGTAGCTACTCTCGCGAGTGTGCGCCATCGGAAAGCACGACCGCGGAGGAAAGTCGTAAAGCGGCGAATGCCACGATAAAAGGGAAAAGCCAGTAAAAAGGACAGAATCGAAGAGGAGTATCCATAACTAATCCCTACGAAAATACGTGGAGAGCAAGACTCGGGCAATAAATCAAGCAGCGAATCTTATCAACGAACATACATCACACACACAAGCTTGCACGAGAAGAGAGAGAGAGAGAGAGAGAGGGAGATTTCGGGGTATTTAATTGAGACGTTGGTCGCGCGAAACGTTCCGTGTTCCCACCAAACTGATTTAAACATTGCGCGTCCGGTTCGTGCTTTTTTGGCTTTGATTTACGATTCGGGGACGGCCGGCGACTTTTTCCTTGTGCTCGAAAGCCGAGCGACAACTGATAAGCCGTTCGTGTCGTATAAAGGGTCGAGGGATGTGTACAAGCAATTTCGCTGCTTTCTTGTTCTCTTTCGGCTTCTCGCGGATTATCGCGGCCGAGGGATATGTTCGCTCGCGCGGCGATTACGCCTCTCGTGGGTGTTTCGCGGATAGGTCGCCTCTAGGAGCGCCCTTATCTAGATTTACGCCAACGAGTGGCACTCCGTTGAGCACTCATCTTGGCGCCTGTTGGCGAAGCGTCGACTGTTGAAAAGCTCGCGTACTCTGGCAGGCAGGCAGGCAGGCAGCCGCTGCAAAAAGCGAAACCGGCGGAACGCTCGGTCGAAACGCGGCCGAGCCCCCTTCTGCTCTGCCCCGGACATTTGCATGGCAGGATGTATATAGCGCACGCCGACGCGAGGCATAGCTGCGAAGGGTCGAGCGAGGAGAGTCGAGCATTTAGTTCAAAGTGCAATTTTCCGAATTTTTGCCTCGTAAAGAGCGGGAGAGAGACGTTGCTCGAGCGCGAAAGAATAGAAGCTTCTTCCGCGTGCGAATAGATTATCGTTGTTTACCGGCGCGCTCGGTCGTCCGCGGCGGCGGCAAATTGTTAGGCAGCAACGATCCGTAATTGGTCAATCACGCGACTACGAGGACGACTGCGAGCGACCCGCAGCCTCGCTGATCAGATAAGGGCGGCGACACGGGAACTCGATTAGCCGGGGAATTTTAATTCCCTGGGCCAGAGGGCGGCAGGTGTCCCCTCGAGGTCGAGAGGAGGAGCCGGTTTTGCTCCTCGGCCGCGGCTCCTCTCACTCGCGCGCAACCGCACACGCGCGCGACTTTTTGGTCGCGACCAAGGGCGGAGTCTCGCGCTTTTTCTCGTTCCCCGCGTACGCGCGCGCACGCAACTCGCCGCCGGAGGAAGGCGACTCCTTAGAATTAAATCGCCAGCCCGAGCGAAGATTAGCCTCCGTCTGCCCGCGTACGCATTCCGATCGCTCGGCGAGTCAGGAGGGAGAGCGAGAGAGAGCATTTCGAGCGTTTATCGCTTTGGAAGCGACAGCAGAAAAATCGGTGATCGTCCGAAGGAAAATGCCAATTCCGCGACTGTCGACTCGACTGGAGCAACCTTTCGAAAAATTGACTTTCCGAATGCTGGATTTGATTGATCGCTGCAGCGCCAGATGTCGGAGTCGTTGCGAGGAGGAAACCGCGTACGACGTATCGCTTGAATTCTGTCATCGTTCGTTCGCGGATAGTTCGCGTCCTAAATATTCCAGATTTGGAATTATCATCGTACTAGTTATCGCGCGGTTCGACCGAGAGCGCATTCCGCACTGAGCCATTGAGTCCCCACGGATAAATGGAACACCGATAAACGAAAAAAAAGGAACAAAGAAACAAACAAAGAGAAGGAGCTGGAGCGCGGAGCGAAAATATATTAATCCGTGAAATAAATCTCGCGGTTGTGTGCAAGTCGCGGCGAGAGCATAGATAAAGGAAAGCAGCTACGAAGCGAGAGGAGAGGATCGCTAGCGATAACAAAGCCCACAGCCTCTCTCTCTCTCTCGCCGGACGACAGGTAGCCAGCATCCCGGAGAAGAAATATCCGGTCCGCGCCTCTTTTTGCCTCTGCCCGTATCCCACGACGGCGAGATTGCTAGCGAGGGCAGAAAAGAAGAAATTATTAGGCGAGGCGTTTTGTTTGCCTAGTGAGGCGTGAATCTCTCTCTCTCTCTCTCTCTCTCTCTCTCTCTCTCCCTCCTCCCCTTCCTCCCTCTCTGCCACTCGGTGGAAGATATTACCGCGCGGGCGCGCGTTGGAAATCGGGAGCAGGTCGCTCGCGTGCTCGAATAATAAAGTGCGCATGATGCAGACCCATTAAAATCGCGCGGCAGCTCGGCGCGCGCCACGGGAGAGGATCACTTACCGTGCTGCTGCTGCTGCTGTTGCTGCTGCTGCTGCTGTTGGTGGGGGCAGATTGCCGACTGCTGCTGCTGCTGCTGCTGCTTATCTTCGCCGTTCTCCGGGGATTCTGCAATTTCAAATATCAAGTGTGTATATTTTTAATGGCGCGCTTTACGAGGCTGCGCTTCGGCTTTATACTCATCGCGCGCTTGATATTGTCTACGCCGGTAGTAAGCGAGAAGGCATTACGAGCGTCTTATACCGACGCTTGTTTGATTATTTCGCGTCTCATCGGTGGCCGGAATTTCTTCATTCGCGGCATATTGCGCTCTCGCGGACGGTTCGCCGAGGCTTGCCGAGTGAGCTGTGACGCGTTCGTTTAATGCTTTACGGAAGCGGAAACGCTCTTCTTGCTCAAAACTGTAGTTTCTCAATAAAGGATTTTCGACCGCAGCGCGGCTTTCAGCACGAACCATTTGGTAATTCAAGTAGACCAATCTTCCTGACCTATCTAATGCATAGCTATGCGGAATAGTCGGCATTTCCGCGCGATAGTACGTAATTACAGCAATAGATGGACGACCAGGCATCCAGTCCGAAATAAAGAAAGTCATTGTTCATTAGTAAATATCGCAGATAAATATCGCTGTTTAGCATTGTTCAAGGTCTCTGTATTGGACCTGCCTTCGTTTTCTGAAAAAGTAATTGTAGCTATTACGATGGGTCGCCATTACCAACTTTTTAATGAAACGAGTTACTCGTTATAAATACGAAAATGTTCAACTATTAAATATCGTATACGTTGCCTGACTTCCAACTAAAAAAAAGCTTCATTCCTAGCTAACCAGAAGGAAGACAGAAATACACGTGTGAACGATCAAAAACTAGATCTGCGCAAGTTATTATCGTTTATAGAAATTCAGTACAAATCGGCGTTTACTACGAACTTTAACACATTTGGCAAGATTCCCGTGTGATTTTGAGGCGCGACCGCAGCCTGTTAATCTTCGTTAGCTCGCCGCGACAAAATATTACTGGCCGACGCCGCCACCGCTGCTCAGTCTCTCGGCGATTGCGAAACGAACACGACAACTCGCTCGTCGGCCATTCGATAATTGAAAATGAGCACTGCTCGTTGCGATCCATCGATAGCCATCGTAAAATCCTCCCCGTGGATATCGCGAGCAAGCGAGCGAGTAAACATCCTCGACACTAATTACCCCGACGACGCACGCACGCACAGGCTGCTAAAAAGCATCCTCGGATTCAATCATCACCCCCGTCGTAAAACTCTCTCGAAAAAAGAATAAGAGAGAAAGAGAGGCAAAACGAGCCGTCAGTATCATCGTTTCTTTAGCACACCTTAAAACCGCCGTAAACATCGTGACAAAGCGAGCGCGCGACACCGCGACGGCGGCGCGCCGAGGCGATACAGACATCATATTTACGAGGTAGAGAGAGCCAGCAGCACGCGCATGCAAAAGTGTACACACATACACGCACATGTACACGTGCATATACGCGCGCTCGTCGTGTGGGAGTCGGCCGCCAGAAAGAGAGAGAGAGAGAGAGAGAGAGAGAGAGAGAGAGAGAGAGAGAGAGAGAGAGAGAAGACAAGGGCGAGAGATTCAGTGGGCGGATCTTTCTTGCCAGCCGCGTGCTGCTGCTGCTGCTGCTGCTGCTGCTGCTGCTGCTGCTGCTGCCGCCGCCGCCGCCGCCGCTGGTAAAAAGTTCGATTACGGTGGCGGCTTGAACTCTTGACCCGACGTGCTTTTCCCGCTGTGTTCTATTTTCGAAGATCGGATCGGACGATAAACGCTCTACTTTGGTGCGCGTCGAGCTGTAGCTTTTTGCGAAATCCATGCTGCCGTTATTACCTCCTCCTTACGAAGGCTCGCGTATTTGCATCTCTAGCTTGAGGGAAAAAGAAAGACGCTCGATCGTCCCTCGTAAAGTCGGGAAAAAAAGCTGCTTCTCATCACCTTGTAAACCCATCGCGACGCGAAGAAAAAAAGGAGCTACAGCGTCACATCCATATCTGGGGAAGAGTCTGGTTCGCTCGAATGGTTTTCTGTGGCGAGGTAGACTAAAGCGCAGCACCAGCGACGACGACGATCACGGGGTTAACGACAATTTTTATCGGTCGCGATAAAACCGGTCTATCGCGTTCGCTGTCCTCCGCTCCCTTCACAATGCCGATTTGCATGCGAGCGCGCGGAGAGAGGATCCGCCGTAATTAGGCGGCGCACGCGCGACCGAGAATATCATCGTCGATAAACAGCCGACTTTATGCCTCGCCCCTTTATTTCCTCGTTTTCCAGCTTTGTGCGAGCGCGCGCGTGATGTCTCAGTTATACAGACCGAAACGCCTCTCCTGGATATCGCTGACTATTATACACTCGCGAGATACGCTCATTGCCGCGCGGAGAGCGCCTAGGGGATTAAAGCTTTAAATAAAGGCAACAGCTTCGTCGATTGCGTTCCGGAATTTATATATCGGGACCCCTTTCGCCTTAACGTCTCAATATGCAGTTTATCGCGGCGACACGCTCGCCGCTTTTTTTCTCCGCGGCGTTGTGTGTATTAGGCCGAGGATAAATTTCGGGCTTTATGTGTTTTGATGCGAGCCAATTTGAAAATGCCGAATGCGTTCGCTTTCGCCGATGAGTTCATCGACTGGCGCGCGCTTAGCGAAAGCGGTGGCGTGGCGCGCGATCTTTGATCCGTTTGGAACTCCATCTCGCGAATGTTCATTCGTCGAGAGCGGCTCGGAGCTCCATCGCCGGCTACTCCCTTTTATCGAGCGTTCCGCCGGTGCGTTGGCGAGTTGGCGAGTTCTAGATCATCGCACTCCACTGCGAGGGCAAACCATATTCAACAATTACGTAATTATCCGTGGACGATAATTAGAACGACGTCGTACACATGACTCGAAGATATCGGGTTAAACGACTCATTAGAAAATTCACCGTTAGTCAAGAAAGAAGGGGTACGTACAGCTTGAAAAAGGAAAAATCACTCACATACTTTCCTCCGCGAACTACAGCGTCCGATCGTTAGCGCGAAAAAGGAAATTCGCGCGCCGCCTCGGGGAAGCCGCTGCGGCGAGCGCGCGCGCGCGCGCGCATCCACGGTGTGCCTTATTAGTCAAAAACTGACGCGACGGCAATTTGAAATTGAAATGATCGGCCGCGGTGAGAGCGCGCCGAGAACCAACTGCCGCGAGCGGATGCAAAACAAACGGGCGCGCATCGGTCGAAAATACATTTCTGGCGGGCGTCCCGTTGGGATTGATGACGCCTAATTAAAGCCGCGCGCGCGACCGAGCGGGCGCATTATAAACGACGCGCGCCCCTTTAATTGCGACGATCAATGAGCGCGAGCGACACGAGTTCGCGCGCTACCGCGCCGCCGCTGTTTAATTTACGCGTGAGCGTCGCGTCGCCTCGTCGCGCCCGCGCGGCCCGATGAAAACGCGCGCCAAGAGAATCTGTAATTCGAGGCTGCCGCTCGATTAATCGCGGCCTGACGCGCTGCTTTTTTTAGGGACGCGCGGTGGAAGAAGCACGAGAGCGAGGCGACTCCGGTCGAGCTTCTCGTGGCCTGCGCGTTCGATGAAAATCGGCAGCTTTTAGCGCAAACTATCGGCGTCTCGTTATTGCTGCGCTTCGGTTACCCGTGCAGCTATACAATATTCTCGTCACTTTTCGGATAACGATATCGTTCACTTTTCACGTCTGACTTGCCACTTTTCCTACGTATGAAAGTGTATTATTTATTCGGTCTATTGGGTACTTTAAAAATAGTAAAGGGCTACAATAATTACTTATATCTAATACATTCGTTATCTTAAATCGTGATCATTTCTTTTTTTGAACTATTTATAACACTGAAAGTGATTTTGCATGTATCGGGCAAGATGACAACCCTAAATTGAACCTTTTTTAATGTTTATTTTTCTTAAATTTTCAGTGATTTCATAAGTAATTGCGAAATATAATCTAGTTTTCAGCGTTGATTAATTAAAATGGTCTACAAATATAAAAGAAAATCAAACTACGAACAATGGTCTGTAGAAAATATGAAAACGATTTTCAAAAAATTTTAAAAAAGTAATTGCGTTCTATTTATTTATTCTTATGTAAATTATTGCATTAAAAATGATAGATTTCACCTAATGTATTTTCTGTTTTTCCGTTTTTCCCTGTAATTTTTTTCAAAATTTCATCAATTTTTTCTCAATGTATTAATTTAAATCATTTTTCATACGCAACCTATTGTTGCGTAGGTATATTGGTTATCATACCCACTTCACATTAAAAATATAATATAAATTTTCCATCTGGTTAATTTTTTTTCAATTTTTCTTTAAGGTTTCCATATTGCCCGATTTTCCACTAAACACTCGAAATAAATATAGAGCGTCCATACCACTTTTTCGTTAGACTTCTCTACTTTCAAAAGTTTAAAATCAATTTTGCAAAATATTTAAATTAGATTAGTACAAATAAAGTTACTTAAAATTAATAGTAAACAGTAATAAAACAATTAATGTTATTTGTTTTTATTTGATTATTCATTTCGAAAATAAAATCGATGTTTCAGAGGCTACCTTACATGGTATTATTTCTTCTTGTTATATTTTGTGCTAAAAACACGGTCAGTATAAGGTTTTGGAAAAATTACACGATGAATGATACGTAGATGAAACTGGTGCTACAGCGATTTATTTATTTCAGTGTTTCATTTCCAAGAGTAACAGACGCGATCCACATTGTCGATCATCGGATAATACTAAGGTATGGAAGTTTTCAAAGAGGCAAATAATTTTTGCTCGAATTTCAGTTAGCCACGAATAATTTTTCTTTATTCTTTTGTAATGTATGATCAATTCTTTTTTCCTCTGGTATGCTGTCTCATGGTTCAGTGTAGCCCTCTTCAATTTGAAATTTCATCCAAAACGCGTGTGTCTACTTTAGATATGCGTCGTCTTTCCCCAATTCCCAATTCCATCCAGAGCATTGTATTCTCGTGGCCGTTGTGAATCTCTCGCGACGAAATAAACAAGAAATGTTAGGACGTAGGTTCCTCAAAATCAGTCTCAAGACGGAGAGGTAAAGAGCGAGC